AGGGAGGAAATGATACAGATCAGAGTAGAAATTAATGCAACTGGTAGATTCTGTAGAAATCCAGAAAATCATTAATACCTACTTCAAGGACGTGTACTCTAGTAAGATGAAAAATGAGGAAGATATGAACAGACTTCCTAAAGATATGAATTACCAAAGTGAAATCAAGAACTAAAAATTCTAAATAACTCAGTATCAGTCAATAAAATTGAAGAAGTAATTTAAAAACTACCAACAAAAGAAAAGTCCCAGTACTGGCAGATTCATTGCTAATTCTACAAGAAATATGGAGAAGATCTAAGACCACTATTCCTCAACATCTTTAATGAATTTGAAAGGGAAGTAATATTCCCAAAGTTATTCCTGGAAACAAGCATTATCCTGATAGCAAAAGCAGAGACATATCCAACTGAAAAAGAGGGCTATAGGCCAATCTCCTCAATGAACATAGAGGCAAAATTCCTCAGTAAGATACTGGCAAACAGAATGCAGAAAATCATCAAGATGATTAAACACCCAGAACAAGCAGCATTTATCTGCGGGATGGAGGGGTGGCTCAACATACACAAATCAATAAATGTAATAAAGCACATTAACAGAACCAAGGAAAAAAGCACATAATCATCTCAATAGATGCAGAAAAGCATTTGACAAAGGCCAACACCAATTCATGATAAAACTATCTGCAGAAAACAGGAATAGAATGTCTGAATCTCAATCTGATGACAAACAGCCAACATCATATTAATGGTCAAAATCTGACAACTTTCACTTTAATATCAGAAGTATCACCACTTCTATTCAATACAGTTCTGGAAGTATTAGCCAGAGCAATTAGACAAGAGAAAGACATAAGGACAGGTAATGAAAAGGTCAAATTATCATTTGCAGATGACATGATACTCTACATAGACGGCCCTAAAATCTCTACCAAAAGACTCCTGATTGAATAACTGAATTCAGCAGCATAATCAGATACAAAGTCAACACTTGGAAATGCACAGCATTCCTCTACACAAAAACAAACTCACTGAGAGAGAAATTAGGGAAACAATATCTTTCACAATAGCATTAACAAAAATGAAATACTCAGGAATCAATCTAAGGAAGGAAATAAAAGATCTTTACACTGAAAACTACAATACTCTGAAACATGATATTGATATCAGAAAATGGAAATACATACTTTGTTCTTGCATAGGCAGAGACAATATGGTGAAAATGGCTATCCTTGCAGAACTGTTATACAGATTTAACACAATCCTGATCAAAATACCAATAGCATACCTCACAGATCTAGAAAAAACAATTCTGAAATCCATTTGGAACCAGAAGAGACACAGAATAACAAAAGTAATTCTGGGCAACAAAAGCAAGGCAGGGTGCATCATGATCTTCAACTTGAAACAGTACAACAAAGCTACCATGATACACACTGCTACAGAGCTACTGCCCACCCACCAATCACACTGGCTTTACTATAGGCTTGTTGGCATTCTTCTCCCAGTTCCCTGCCTTATTCTCTTCAGGGGCGCAAATGGAAACTTCAGAACCCTCCACATTTCACTCAATTGTGGGAAATTGCATATGAGCTGTCACAACCTCTCCTGGCCTAAATGTTGCCATACAATCATTTTTGATTCTAGTCACCTTATGTTAGGACAAGAGGCCTCTGTGACATTCTTTTCCAGATTGGGCCAAGCCCCCAAAAGGCAGTTTCACTTAATGTAAGGTGTCCAGTGATTTCTCCTTGTCTGTTACCCCATTTAGTTTTTGGTGTGGGAGGGAAGGCTTACAAGTCTTACCTCCAACACTTTGCTTTCTCCCAGAACAGATGGGGCCACAGGTGAGAATCTCACACCCTTGCAGCCTTCTTTCCTTACTCATTGCTCAAAGTTCAGATACAGTCAATCACTGAGGCCCATTAAACTTCATGTTGGACAACATCCAGTTGTTGTTTTTTTTTTTTTTTTTTTTTGGTACTGGGAATTGAACTCAGGCCCTCGTGCTTGCCAGGCAGGGGCTGTGCTCCTGAGCTATCTCCCGAGCCCCACAGGGTTTTTATTTCAGCAGGTCTGGTGCTGGGCCTGAGGATGTATACCAGCATTCAAGCTTGGACTCCAAGAAGTCCCCATACAATGATGTTGCCAATGTATAGAGGACCACTTTGAAAACCACTAACATTTTTTGTGACCTTTACTGACATTAGTGCCCCTTTCCCATGCAAAAAGCACCATGGACTAGTCACAGTGGGAGAAAGGCTGCCAATGTACATGGCTTTTGCTCACTCTTTTGAAAGTGATTGTGATGGGACTTCAGCGTCTCCAACTATTAAGAGTATAAAGGAGTCGCCAGAGCGTATTTATGACCAAAAACACATAACTCAAAACTGATGTCTTTCTTTCTCTTTCCAAACATATCATCTTTATCTTGGAGTATTTTAGACACTGAATCCGTGGACGGAGACTAATGGTTGTGGGGTTTTGTTTGGAGGGGAGGGTTGTATGGTGAAATACTACATTAATAACTCCTGTACAATCATCTAGAAATAAGTTCCCAGAGGTGACACTTTCTATCTTCTGGAAGTGTAACCTCCCCTTTAGCTGTGAGAGGTAAAAACAGGATGTACAAGGTGGAGAAAGACTTCCTTGTTTTACCTGTGAAGGAGATGGGAAGAGGGATCCCCCTTCCCTGGGCTGTGGAAGGTGAGGAAAGTGAGGTAACTGAGTGTGTGGGAGGGAGGAATTGTGGCTTCCAGCATCCAAGCTTGGACTCCAACAAGAGGCTGCACATCAGTGGGTTACTATTTGAAACGAAAAGAGTGAAGCAGTACACAAAGAAAACCGGAAGAGCACTTTCTGTGTTTCTCAGTGTTCTAGCCCTCATTACAAAAATTTTCTGGAACCAACCTAAACCTTAACAAGGGTATCCTTATATTCAGCCCACTTCTTGCTTAAATCAACACTAAAGTTTTTGTAATTTGCAATTGGGAGTCCTAAATAATATGATAAAAAATGTAATTTTGAAGATATTAAAACTGGCCTTGCAGGCAGTTCCATTAATAAAACCTTGTCTCAATGCCTTGGCTTGCCCTGTGTACTTTGACTAAAATGCTAACTTAGCTCTTTAGTACCTAAAAGTACGTATTTCACTGACTCTACATTTTTTTCTTCCCTCGGTGTTTATTTAAAAAAGAACCCATATTTACAATGTAGAACTTTCAAATGCAGAAATTTTAAAAATGCTTCTCCAGATTGTTGTATAAAATTCTCCAGTAAGAAGTACCATAATTTTAGACAGAGGTAATATTTGGTATTGTTGTTTGCCTTCCTTTTTCATCTAATTACAAAGCCCATTTCCTCAGGTAGCTACCCTCTTTTTCTAATCCTTAAGGTTTTGTGTACGGTTGTCCCCATTCCATTTCCAGGTTTTAGTATGGAACCCAGGTTTAGCTAATCAAAGCACTAAGTCCCCTGTGGTTATAGTGATTGATTCAAAATAGGCCCACTGAGATTCTATTTTAGGATTTAAAAAGAGTCACTTTCTAATTAGTGTAAGAGGAACAAATAAATTCAGAACTGTAGCAGCTGTGTGGCACTAAATTTTGATCACTAACGTATCTGCAGTACTAAAATTCTGGCACACAGGAGGTCCTTAAAAAGTATCAGATCAATCTGTGAATGAGAGATCTCCACTGAGCAGTCAGCCAAGAATGAGAAAAGCAGAAGAAGGACGTGGAGAACTGACTGATTGCCAAGCAACCTGTGAATTTAGAAGTAGGTTAAGGCCAATTTTTTTCCCAGGCTTCAAGTGGGGCTTTTGTCGTTTGTAATCAAGCAATTAATAAAAAGGCATATGTTACCTACATAATTTACCAATATAGCTTGAGAAGAGGAAGAAAACTCAGTACCAAATAACTACACAATTCAACAAAAAAGAAAGCAATGTAATACAAACTCTATGCAAGTTTTTTTTACTACTAAGCAAAAAAAAAAAAAACAAAATGTTTTTTAAATCAAAGAAAGCTAATTCTATCAAATGACAAATGGATCTGGTTCCTCTTACTTAGAAATAGTTCTATCCCACAGATGAAATGACTCAACATGGGAAATATTTACTTAAAATCTCCTATGTCGTGCCAGTGCATACATTATACCAATTGCAGATTTTTCTTTATAGTACTGGAGGTCAAACCCAGGGTCTTGTGCATGCCAGGCACACACTATACTACTGAGCTACATCCCTAGCCCTTTGATTATCCTGGTTATGCCTCCCAAGGAGCTGGGATTACATGTATGTGCCAGTACATCCAGCAAAATTTGTTTATGTCTAAGAGCTTTTTTTTGTGATGAGGTCTTGCTGTGTTGCCCAAGCTAGCCTTGAATGAGCGATCCTCCTACCTCAGCCTTCTGAGTAGCCTGAACTATAGGTGTTGGCCACTGTGCCTACACCTTTTCCATTTAAAGATCCTGATCCTTAAATACAAAAGCTGAACAATCACTTGATTAAAAAAAACAATATTTACAATTACTTTAACTTTTAAATAAGTATCACAAATAAAATTGAATTTAATAAAGGGTATCTAGCACAAATTCAGGGCATATAGCATCTGTAATCAGAGACGTACTGATAGTTTTGAAAGAAAACTGCAATGGCACAAGAGATCAGCATTAAAAACCAAGCTGCCTTTTCCTACAATAGCTGTATCAATTTATAAAAAGTACGTGATATCCAACAAAATAAAATCCACAGAAATGTCAAAATGTACGATCATATAAAAAAAAACCTGTGAAACTAAGAGAATGCTACCCACAAATGAACTGATTCAATGAAGATAAATATTACTCTTATGTAAATACTTGGTAGTGTACTTTGCTGCAAATCAATTCTATAAATTTAGCAAGATAAAAAATCAGATTTCAAGACACACTCACCTAGCAGCTATTTTTGAAAAACATCAGGAACACTGTACCCCCACCAAATCTGAAAGCATACCCAACTACAATCAAACTAATACACTATTTATTAGAAATATCAAAAGGTTCAACAAAATAATTTAGTACATAATGAAGTAGCATTTCATATCAGAGTCAAAGGCACTTTTTAAGAAAGGAGTTCTGAATAGACTTTTGGACAAAGGTAGGTCTATAGCTTACCTTTCTTTTTTTTTTGGTACTGGGAATAGAACTCAGGACCTTGCACTTGCCAGCTAGGTGCTTGTGCCACTGAGCTATATCCCCAGCCCTCAACTTCTTTATATAAATCAATTACAGATACAGATGTAGACATTAACCACTCAGATGCTCATCTTAGAAGAAAATACAAATAACCATGAAATGAACACAAGTGAACACATGATAAATGTCTTAGAAAATAAGAGGATTTACTTTGTACCTTGTAATAAAGATATAAAAATTTCTCAATTTGACTATAAAAATATAAAACATCTATAAAAAGAAACAGACAAGCAGCTGACTGGGAGAAACACTGACAACAGATATAAAAGGTCAGTATCTAAGTTGTAAAATCTTTGAGTTAAAAAGACAAATCATTAAACAGAAAAATGAGCAACAGAAGAAAATTCACAAAGAAACATGAATAACCTAATTTAAATATAAGACGCTTACCCTTACCAGTGTGCAAAACTTCTGAATATATTTTTTCACCTATCAGATTAATAGAATTATAATTTTATAAAGATCTAATTCAAATGTCCATCATATGACAAAACAGGTACTCATTCTTTGTTGAGGGAAACTATTTATTGCTATAGCCACTTTGGAAGCCAAATAAAAGTATCTCTTCAAATTATAACTGCTCGTCTTCTGGTCAAGCAATTCAAACCCTAAACATATACACTAGTGCACGAAGACCCATACAAGATGAGGTTCACTTCAGCACTGCTTACAGTTGGAGTAGAAAAAAGGGTGAATTACCTAAGTATCCACTATAGGCAAGAGATTGTGGGAAACAATGCAAAAGCAAAGAGGTTAGTTAAATGTGAATGGAATGCAATGAAAGTAGGAAAGTAAGCTGCACAATGAGAAACATACCTGTATGTAAAAATCTATTTTTTGCATCTATGTATGAGGATTGAAGCCTGTCAAAAGACTTGACTGATTTTTTAAAAGCAAAATTAGTCATATATGTGTAATTTAAAATTTAATTTAAAAATAAAGCATTATGCACAGACATTTTAAGAAAAATACAGACACAAAATTATACTTCATTATCTCTGGCGCTCTGTCCCTTGATGGCAATTGCACAAGAAAGGTTCTGGAAGAGATACCTGCTAAAATAATGTGGAAATACTACCTAATGATACTGCCAATAAAATTAATATTTTCAACTCTATAGTCATTTGAAAGACAAGAAAATTCAGTTCATAATTTACAAAAGGAATACAATTTTAGTTCACAGTTCTTATGTTGTGTTAGTTACAATCTTTACAAGGTTCATGATTATGTACTGGATTTTTGCCTTTACTGCATTTGAGACAAAGGAAAATATGATAAAGTTTTGTTTTTGTTTTTGTTATTTTTTGGTACCAGGAATTGAACTCAGGACCTTGCACTTGCCAGGCAGGCACTGTGCCACTGAGCTACATCCCTGGCTAGTAGATATTTTAAAATCAGAACTGAGGTTGTTACTAACATTTCAGATGGCAGCTTAACAAGACGACATATATGTTTTTAAGAGAAAAGTAAATGTGTGTAAAGGCAGACTGGTTTATTTCCTTAGCTAACTGACTCTACCATATACTATCAAGAAATATACTTTAATGTTAAATTTCTCATTGGCCAACTTCTTTTAATGAATGCTCTCTGTAAATTAGTTTGTAAACTCTTATCCTAATGTTGATCAAGAATGTTATCAGTGATCAAATCCAGCCAGCTCCATTTTAGGAGTGACACGGCTTTTGAGCGTAGAAACTAAAAATAGTCAGAACTCTGCATTTTTAAGAACTGCTTATTTCTCATTTACAAATTGCTAAAGAATTGAACCATAAAGAAGAAAATGATGATGAGAAAAGAAAACTGCCAGAGCTACTGCAATTCACAATATCTGTGAGTGAAAGATAAGGCCAGCAGTTTCTTGCCAAACAAACAAGTCATTAGCGAAGGAAGAGAAACCTGTGAGGCATGACCTTCAATGGAATCTGGAATTCCCCTTGGCTATGCTAGGTATCTATAGGTCCAACCTTTCCTTTTGCAATCTGCCTCAGGTGGGCAAGTGCCTCTCACAGTCCTGATCCAAGGCAATTTCCTTCAGAACACAATAATGGAGAGAGCAGCAGGTCTGTGTTAGATCATCTCTGAGATTCCACAAGACCTCACTTTAACACTTCTGTGAAAAGGGTGTACTAGAAGACAGCTGAAACTTCTACAATCGGCCTTCATCCAAAGTCATGAAGGAAATTTTTTATCTTCATATCATAAAGGCATTTTTACAATACTATAGATCTGTTTTATATGGTATCTTCACTACAGTTCAGCACTACTTTACAATAAATAGGGAGCCATCTCTTATCTGTAATATACTCAAAAACATGTGCTGGTAATATCAGAAATTCATACACAAGTAACTCATTTGAAAAGATTCAAAATAAGTCATTTGAGTAGATTGCTTAGGTCTTCAAAACAAAAGACAGGTAGAATTTTATTTCAAGAATGTATTAAGATTTAAAGGAGAGAATTACTGATTAAGTAAGTAGTGCTAGCACTTCTTTTCACACTGCACTTGGAAAACAAGGATAAGTTAAACTGAACCCATTTAATATGTCTTTGATTTCTTTAGTCACTTAAGTTTATAATAAAGCACTTTTGATATAATTTAGAACACACATGCTTTGATTGAAGAGTGACTGCAAATGAATCCAGTTTTCTTCCACCTGTGATAATAATTTTGTCATTTCTTCCAGGAGTATGGGTTCTGAAGGAAGCATTTTAAGATGTAACTGAAAAGAAAAATACAGCAGTTGGATATTTTACTCAATAAAACTAAAGTTTTACCTATTTTGCATTCACTTTCCTCACAAGGAAACCAAAAAGACACTAAATATACGTTATATGGTGGATTTGTTTGTTTGTTTATTTATTTATTTTTGTTGGGTTTTTTTGAGACAGGGTCTCGCTTATATAGTCCAAGCTGGCCTTGAACTCGTGGTGATCCTCCTGCCTCAGCCTCCCAAGTGCTGGGATTACAGACATGTGCCACTATATACCTGTTTACTACTATCTCCAATTTCCCTCCCCTCCAAACTTTCCCCATTTTCTCCACCATACTAAAGTCCTGAAAGAAGGATCTAGTTTTGTTTTTTGTGGGGTTTTTTTTTGGTTTGATTTTTTTGGTGGTACTGGAGATTAAGTCTCACACTTACCACTGAGCTATACCCCAATTCAAAGTCCTACTTCTAACACAAATTTCACATTTCTATGCTTCTGTAAATTCTCCTTTCAATATAATCCACTGGTAATGAATGGTGGACGGACTCTTTGCTTTATTTCCTAAAGGTTTTTAAGTAAGTTCTAATTATACGACAAAAACACAGTAAATGTGGGAAAAGACAATTGGTACTTGTATTTTTCAATGCATTGGGCCACTATCTAAATAGTGGCCCAATGTATTGGGCTTCAAGCAATTTTTGAAGATAGACCTTCAATGCATGATTTCACTATTACGTTAATCAAGCAACTATCTTGTGCAAAATCACTTTTAAACTCCAACTCGGATAGAGGTGAGCATTTTGATTTCAGCAGTAGAAAAAAACCCTTAAAACCTGGCTTTCTCTTTGTGACCAAAGAAATTTACACAAAATATAACTACTTAAAAAAAAGTTAATGGACCAACACATGGGAGCAGGTGGATGACAGGAGAATCAAGTATAGTTTAAATTTCTGTGCTGTTACATAGCGAAAAATGAAAATCCTACCAAGCTGCATAGTCCAACTACTCCCATGTGGTAGTTACCAGCTACATGTAGCCATTTAAACTTTAATTAAATAAAATTAAATATTCAGCTTCTCAGTCACACTAGCCACATGCAAGTCAAGAGTTACATGTTGAAGTGGCTGTCATGTTAGACATGGTGGATATAGACCATTCTCATCTTTATGAGCAGCTCTATTATACAGTACAGCTTCTGAGGAGAAAAGATGGAAGTATCTTACACTGCCTTACCTTTAGAAACAACGCAAGATAGGCCTGGGCTAACTCAAAATCACGCTTCCTCTCCAACATCATTCCAATCATCTTCAAGAAACTCTGCATAACTTCTACAGACCCACCACCATCAGGAGACAAATTTCGCAGTTCTGTTTCAATTCCTGATGGGCCCAATTCTTTTAGAAGGTTGAGAGCAGTCTCATCTGCATTAAATTTTTCATAAGTTCTAGTTATTACAATCACTTCATTTAAATCTATTAACACATTCAAATGTTAAAAAATTTCTATAGGATAATTTGAAAATATATGAAGTTATGTATGACAATTTTTTGTTGTACTGAAAACTGTACTGCAATTCAAATTTGTAAAGAACAAATGGCATGCAAATTACCAGGGACAACAAAATGTTTACATTGAATGCATATTAAAGGCCTCCCTATTAGAAATATTGTCAGTAACTGTATCCATCTCCAAACCACAAAATAAGAAAATATTCAACTTTCCATACAGAAAATGAGAAAGGTTTTCAAGAAACTGTTATATGATCATCTGAGTTTAGTTTCACTCATTTAATATACTGTAATTTAAAAGCAAAACTTAGTTCAGATTAAAATTAAAGTATCAATCCTTTGTTTTTACTAACCTCTTTTTAGCTAAGAAATCTGGTATTTCTTTCAAGGTTTCTTCATATAAAGGAAAACATGCTAAAAATGTATGTTGAAATAGAATTTAACTTACAATTATCATTTAGCAATCCTTCTTCAAGTTTCAGGCAGAAATCTGATTTTTGAGCCAAAATTCCAAGGTTTACCACTTTAGACTTAAACAAAAACAAATATACAATATTAAAAGAATGTGTCATCTAAAACATATAGCCTGTAATTATAAACTATCATTATAAATATTTGAAAAACCGGGTCTTGGTAAAGAACTATACAAAACATATATAAACATAATCCCCATATATCTAGTGTTCCAATTTGGTTCTTACCTGCTGGGGATCGTTATTTTGTTCAGGTGCAGCATATCTAGGTACAAGGCCAGGAACTGTTGGAATAAAAAATGGTGCTGATTTGGGTACTTTGGGTGGTTCCTTTGGCTTATTCTTTTTCTGATTAAGAGAAAGTGAGAATGAGAAAAAGACTAGTAGTTATTCTAACAATTTTTAATTCCAAATCAAATCTAAAAGGGAATCAAACTTTCCAAGATTAGAATGTTACAATAAAATCCACTTGACCAACACCATAGCTATTCCCAGCCCCAGCTTCTCAGTGCAGATCTCCAGTCTCCAGCCTCCTGCTGACTACACAAAGGAAACTATCTGTGTGCGGAAGCGGCTTGATGACAAAGTTTACCTTCCTGAAATGACTTTTTTGTACTGAATACAACCTTGTAAACAAACTAGGCTAGAGAGCAAGATTTCCACAGAGAATGGCTTCTCAAACTATTTTTCCCAAAAACAAAACAAACAAACAAAAAAACTGGAGCCAGAAACCAATACCCTCCATTAGAGGAAATTTGACGAATTTTTTGTGAAGCACAACACTAATTTTTCTACTTTCTTAGAATTTTTAACTTTCCTTAGTATTTTTGAGCTTCAAAACAAAACAAAACTTATTGGTTTATAAAATATTTCAAGTGTTAGTGAAATTCTACTGGAATTCCCAATGAAAGAATTTAGTTTTAATGCATACATTTCTATGTATCACTATCTCAAGAGTATTTGATGAAAGGGACTTTCTATGGTAATCTGCCTAATATACGAATCTCAAAATTTTACCTTAACACTATTCTTCTGTTCTCTTGAATCTCTGTAATCCCAAGGCAGTGATGGTGAGCCTTTTAGCACTTTCAAATTTTCAATGATAACAAATAGCCCACTGAGGCACAGCGCCACAGGTTTGCCACCACTGCCCTAGGGGGATTTTATATTTAAAAGCAAGCCTGGAATATTTGTGGCCTTATGGAGTTATGTATAAGGAAATGATACGCAGGCTGGACAAAGCACTGTTGCAGTGTTAAACACAGCCTTTTGGCAAGGTAGAATGTACTATTCAGTTACTCTTTTAATTCTTCTTGATTTAGAAGAGACAGCTGCTGATTTGGAAAAAAAACAAAAGCTCCACAGGGTATTTGAAAATTAATCCCACAAAGAAACACAATAGTAGAAAAGTTATACATAAGACAAAGTATAAAAATTTCATCTTCTTTAATTCAGTAGGAAATAGAAACTTTAGAGGTTTCACTATATTTCTCTCTCAAGACAATTAGCTAATATTTTTAATATATTTATGTTGTACTGTATCTTACTGAAAAGTGAAGTAATCTAAAATTGTGCTCAATTAGTTGGACATTATTCTGCTTGCTCTTCTCATTTACTTGTACTTTTTAATGCCTTGCTTCTATAACTTTCATCAAGTGCTCTCTTTTGGGCTCAGACTGGACGTGTTGGAGTTTCCCAGCTATATTCCCACTGAACACACAGCCCTTTGTACTCAAGCCCAACTTCTCAAAAAGCAGGCAAGGAAAAACTTTCTCACTTAAGACCCGAACATCTTCTCTGGTGCTAAGAACAATTACCAGTACTTATGAAACTTATCTATATCAGTGTTTCCCGAATAGTTTATCATAGACCACACTGTGATTTAACATAAGCTTTAGTGACTTAACACAAGTTGCATATATCCAACCATACTGAGTTTCACAAAATACTTGCTATCAGAAAGTAGCCAGAAAATTTCTACTCTAACAACTCTTTCAACTGCTTTTTCACAATAGCCTAATATTCACAAATTAGGCTCATGAAAACACTAACTTATACCATAGATGAGCACTGTTCATGTAAAAATTAAAACTCTTCAAAGACCAAAAGACTTAGTTTATTTTTCATTGCCACATACAGTGAAAAACTATACACATCTGGTACCTGTACCATAAACTTATGGACCTGATACTATACAATAAGCTCTAAAAATCTTTTTATAGTTGACAGAGAGAGTGAGGGCTGATAAAGTTAACTGCAGCTTAGAAAAGAAAAAATAACTAATGAAATTTTCTTAATCCTCAAAACATCTAGCAATAAGATACATTAGGGTACCAATTTTTTGCCTTCTTGTTTTAGAAGCTTACAAAGTAATTTATTAGACTTAAAAACATACAATTTTTAAAAGCTCTTTATCGTAGTTGAAGACTGTACTTCTGCCACATCCATAGCTGCAGAGTACTCTCAAAACTGATAAATAGAGGGTATCTTTATGAAAACCACATTAAGTGAAATACATTCAATTAAGTACCCCTGTCTTTGCTGAGACATTGCCCCTCCTAAAGGCCTCTGCTTAAAAAATATGATGACAGAAGGTGTGTTTAAAGCTCGGTATTATGCGTACTGTAAGTATTACCTTAATAACATCAAGATTAAGAAGGTTCTTCCACCGTGATTCGGGGAGAAGTGACAGAGTGATTAATTGCTCACTCAACTGTTCTGGTGAATTATACTCTATCATTTCATCATTTGGCTCTAGATTTTCTTCTGATACTTCTACATCTTAAAAGAAATTCAGATAAATTAATGCAAAATGAAATTTTTATCATATAAAAAAGCAACTTAATCCATCCCAAATCCACTTATATAATCCGTCCCCTCAATATAGGCTTATAAACTCTTAACATGTACTTTCTTTGCCTATGTTCCTTTTTCTTATTTTCTCATATTAACTGCAACTCCTACCATCAGACCCAAAATACTTTTACACTACTGTATTATTTGATACAGATATGATATCAATTATATTTTTGTATAAACTGAAGTCATTCAAAGTATTTCATTTCAGTTAAAACCCTTTGACTGAACGCATTAAACTTTGCCTTCTGTACGAACAGCCATTAAATTAGACTTACAATAGTACACCTCAAAAATTACTTTGCTATTTTGTGATTACCTTGGGTATGACAAGTACCAGGAAGCATAACTACTGATGGAACATAATCTGTAGGAAGCGGGCGTAATGAGACGACTGAATACAGGGAAACATTGGACCTGAGAAATCAAGATGGAAGAATATTTTAAAAGTTTAGAAATAATTACTTCAGAGAAACTTCAACAACTGCTAACAATCACTATGATCTTGCATTTGGCCAGACTGCACTAACTAGCCAGGAAAAGACCTCAAAGACAAGCCTGCATTAATCTGAATGCCTTTATGTCACAGACATTATCCCAAGAAAGCTGCATTAAAACATTAATGGAATCTGTTGTTAATGTAGTACAAAAATATGGTTAAGAGGGACCAATAGCAAATTATACTTTCATCAGGTAAAATAACTTCTACATATTGTTTTAACAAGATCAACCTTGACTTAAGGAAATCATAACCAAAGAAAGGTGGATTCAGAGACTGAATACACTGTTTATGTTCTTGCATATATTGACTAGTCATAGATTCCCCTTTTCTACAATGATCTACCAGGTTGATATTTTCCTACTTACCCTACATGTTCATGGATGAGTAATAAAAAAACAAATACCATTCCCAAAACACAGATACATTCTTTTCTCTATCCATTACGAATCTCAAATGGAAAGTGAAGCTCCACATTCGGCTGCAGAGGTCCCATAGCTATTATTCTCTTAGTTTAATTGAAGTTTCACTGATTTTAAGAGATTCCTCATTCTATTTATCAAGGTGGTCAAAGTGTATTTCTATTATGTATTTACTTTACTTTTTTATTTTAAAAATATAACACTTCAGAATTAGAAAGGAATCAATTTTTTCTCTTCCTCAATAAGAGTTAAACAGATACATGAACTCAGAAAGCAGATAAAAATTTTTCTAGACCCAGGTGATTCATCTTTCACTTTGAGGGATCATAGTTCCTTAGAGGTTCAAGTAAGAGTTTAAAAACTGCCACATATCCTCACATAAGAAGTCACGTGACCAGAATGAATCTTAGCATTTAGCTCATACATAGGCCTTATTTTATAAAGCAGGCTGAAGTTCAGAAGGGATGGCCAACATCATATAGTGGTGGGGTAACTGTAAGATATTAAGGGCCTGGTTGGCTTTCTAACCTTTTGGATTTACTTACCCTTTCTACAAATAAAAACTAAATATGATAACAGATAAAAATCAATCATGTAGTTTAGAACATACATGTAAACAAAGCTGCTAAATAAACATGTTGAATCAGTCATCGATTTACAGTGCATTATCTGTGTCAACTACAGTGATGTTCAGTTGTTGAACTCAATTCATTCCAAAGTTGTGTTCAAGCACCAAAAGGTTTGAGAACAGAATATATTTTTCCCATAAGAAACAGTGGAAAACCAAGTAATTGGTTTTGAGGCCCCAAAATCACATTTATAAATTCATTTTTCCATGCTTTAACATATTTTGCAATGATTTCTTTTCTTTAACTGTCTTGGTTTTCAGTTTTCCCCTCACAGCCTTATTACTGGTATCACTAAGTTTCTTTGGATCCATGGTTACAGTATTTTACACAAATAAAATGCAAAAAAAAAAAAAAAAAGCACAATGGCACTATCTTAATGCAGAAACACAAACACTGTATGTTGTCTGGGTCAGAGCGGTGCTTACACTGTAGCATTGCCCCTCTGTAGCCCCTACAAGATGCAACGCATGACTCATTCTCAGCCTGTACCGGTTATTTCAAGTTGGATTTTCCCTTTGACTATCAAGCAAAGTTACAAACACCGAGCAGATTTTTTTTTCAAACTTTGCTGTTTGAGTAGTGGAAAGTTTGAACTTGGCTCTGCTGGACAACTGAAGTGTCACTGTATATGAAATACCCATTGTGTTTTTTAACCGAGTGGTAATTTTAACCACCATGATTCTCTACAGGAGCATAGCTATTTCACTCTTCTTCCTAAGCAGACATGTATGAAATAACTCACCACAGATAAATTCCAAGGTGGTCCACATGGGAAGTTGCCAGAAAGTCTCCAGTCGGGGACATAGTAACATTGAGAGGAGCTGAGTCCAACAAAAAGCAGTCTACAAGGCTATAAAAAATTAAGATGTTTAAGTACTTAGACTTTAGTAAAAAAATGTTTTTGCTGAAAGAACAAGGGATGATACATAAATTGGTGTGTGTGTGTGTGTGTGTGTGTGTGTTTTAAATTTCAGGCAGAAAGTCATCACTAACAAACAGCTTTGTCAACTAAGTCACTACATGAAAATAACCTCTTTTAACAAGAAAGACCCAAAACACTAAATGGTTCAATTAACTAAACAGGAAGTTTCAATAGAGAGAATACAGGTGGAATGGATGCTGTCTGTCTAATCCTAAATTATGGATGTTGTTTGTCTAATCCTAAATTATGGTATATTGGCCTGGGGCAATTTTAAAGACATCATATATTCAAAATAAATACAATCAGTACTCTTTTGTGTTTTTGTTATTCCAGGGTGTCTTGGTTACTTTTCTCTCGTTGCTGTTGCTGAGACAAATTATCCAACACTCAGAATTAAGAAAGGAAAGGTTTATTTAGCTCACAGTTTGTGGAGGTTTCAGTCCGTATGTGGCTGGTACAGGGCAACCATTCATGGAGGCGAAGACAGCAAAAACAACAAGAGCAAAACGAGAGGAGGGGCAGCAGGCAGCCTCTTTCTCTCCCTTACATATGCAAACGACCTGCCCCAGGGTAGGTGTAGCACTCACATCCATAATTCCAGTATTAGATCATGAATCAATCATAAACTCTAAAAGCCAGCCCCCTGACTGCATGTGTCTTTAGGGGGACACCTAGACATAAACCATAACACAGTGACACTAAAAAACTATGATAACAGAAGAATGTAATGAGAAAACAAAATGTCTCTAAATAAGAGAAAAGTAATAGAAAAAAATTTTGAGCAACTGTTTTCCAAATAGGTAACCATGCTATACATGAAGAAATAGGTACATTTACTCTTTCTTTTTTGGTACTGGGACTTGAACTCAGGGCCTCACACTTGCTAACCAGGCACCATGCTGCTGAGCTACATCCCTAGCCCAGTACATTTAGTCTTTAGAGGATAATCAACAGGAATGGAGCTTAGGGAAACTAGCCTGATAGCTTTAAAATGCAGAATGGAGCCCTGAGTAGTATGTGCCTATAAGCCCAGCACTGTGAGAGGCTGAGATAAGAGAATCTCAAATTGGAGCCCAATGCAGCCCAGGTAACTTACTTAGTGAGACCATGTCTCAGCACAAAAATAACAACAAACATAAATAAAGGGTTGGGATACTGCTCAGTGCAAAGGCCCTGAGTTCAATACCCACTTCCACCTCCCAAACTCTACAGGAGTTTGAAAGTTGGAGAGAAAAAAGTGAGTGACCCCACTCAGACTCAGAGAGGCCTCATACAGAACAGGATTTGAGCTGAGCCTTAAGAAAAGACAGGATTTCAAAGGACATTAACAGCAGAGAAGGCACTTCCTGGCCGAGAGAAATATGGAATGTGAAGACAGATACAATACAATGAAGTACATACTGAGGAATACAGTTGGGTGGAACCATTAAGTAGAGTGTAAGACTGTATATATACGCTCTTCAGCACCAAATATCTCAATGTTTTTACCTCAAAATGGATGGCAACTTAGTAAAGATTTCTGAGTAGATTGTGCTATAAACTTTACTTTCATAAGACAATTTTCTAATAGGAAGCAGAATATATTTGATCAGAAGGAGCAGTGACACTTTGCTAGTAACTGTTTAGCAATACAAATCTGACTAGGATAGCAACCACTGGAAGTAAAATCGGGCAGATTTAAGGATCAAAGAGAAAGGTCTACACAAATCCCCACCATGCCAGGAAGACTCCTAAGACTAACAGCAAGAATACTTTTAGAAGATTACACTAGTTTTAAACAGAGCTTTTTAAAAAACACCCTTACTAAGGACAATAATTATCCATGGAAAGACATAAGCAAATGACTGAAGCTCAGGATCTACACTAAGTAATACAAATTATTTTAAGAACAAGGTAACAGTAGCTATCACAATTTTCAGTGTTCTAACCTAGGAAGTATCTTGAGCTCTGGCATGTACTGACTAATCTAACCTTTGCAATTTATGAGGCAGATCTATTCTCTTTATACAGATAAGAAAACTCAAAACTTCCTAAGGGAGAAAGCAACTGAGCCAAGATTTGAACACAAGCAGTCTGAACTTTTAACCACCTTTAATGCTATTAAAACCACTACTAAAACTAAAGACACAGCAAGCAGTGTGATAACATACACAAATAGGGTGTGTTTACACTGGTGATTCATGAACACAATGAACAGCTCAAATATAAAAAGCTCTCTGGTAGAGATATTAAGTGACCTAGCAATAATAAGATAGCTCTTCAACTGGCTGAAAGAACCATTAGAAATGTAAATCCTCAATAATAAATACAAGATGGGAAAAACACTAATACTGGAGTACTGGGAACAAACGCCCAAGTGTAGTGTGTTCAGGACAGTAACAATTCTTGGCTGTGGTGGAAAAGAGCAGTAAAAAGCTGTCTTGTTTCTTGCTCAGGCTTATTTTGAAGCTCACAAGAAGGGTTCTTCTTAGGGATCAAGGAAATGAGGGAAAAGGAAACACCTGCTAAACACATTATCATCAGAGACTATCAATTATTTATGTTAATTCATTTAATCCAAACAACCTACAGCAGAAGACACTATCCCAGTGTATGCAAATAAAAATTAAACAGAAAACACAGCCATTTCACAGCTTGTTAATTTCCCCTTCGTACTGATCAATAATTATTCTGTGAAAAGTTGTAGTATGTGAGGGTGAAACTTCCTAACCTGTTTAGAACCTATTTGGTAAGAAGAGAATTTACTGCTTGAGCAAATTTGTTTTACTCCATACTATAATTTTTTTGTCAATTTCATTGTGCGACTTCATTTTTACAGCTGTGCTGTGTGGGTAGACTGGCTTTTCTTTATGTAAAAGAACCAAATTGAGGAAGACGGTTTCCACATACACAGCATATTTTATTTTATACTGTCATAATATAATGTAAGTGTGCAGCCTTAATCCCAGACTTACTAAAACTACCTACAGTTTCCTGATTTGCCTACAATATGAAAAGTTCTAGTTATGTTATAAATTTTTTCTGAAAGAATATTAACCATATTCCCAATTTAAGGAATCAGATTTTTAAGATCAGAGTCCTACATATACTTGGAATATTTAGTAAGCTATTTGTGATTACTTTTCTGGAAAAATGATAAAGTCCATGTGTAGTCTGTCTCCAAGATGATGGAATCAACAAAGGGATGATTTATGACTCAGTGAGAAATGTAAAACAATGTTTTATCCCAACTCTTCTGATGTTAATGGTCCTCAGAAAATATGGGGACGAGATGAAACAAAATTCAAATTTCTTTAATAAAATCCATAGTTTTATATATTTATTACCCCACCCCAAGAGTTCAACGTGAATTTCCAAAAGGTAAAACAACAACAAAAACCTAACAGAAAAAAAAAAAACTGGTGGTAATGATACTGGTACTGGGAGGTAAATAACGTAATTTCAAGGATAAACAATTTTAACTCTTCCTCTCTGAGAAGTCAACACACAAAAATTTTTTAGCATTTAAAAAAAATTTTACAGGAACAGTTCTATAGCTATACAATTTATTTCAGAAAGGCACAATTCCAGATGGAGGCACTTGTATGCTGCTACACTGAAAGGTTTACTCACAGATTGCTTCATGTTAGGTTATATAATGAATATATTCACTCTTTATTTAGCAAGCTATGCAAATAATGAAAATGTTCATGGAAGAAGAACTAAGAATCTGCAAAAGTTACCATCCCGATTATATTTAAGAGAGAAAGAAAAAAATACCTCAACAGTTACCTACGATCGTATGATAAAATACTAAATCTTGCTTATTATCTGTCTTCTACAGCAAGAAAGAAAATCCAGAACATTCTCGGAACGTATGACACAACTTGAGCAAAGATGATACCATAATTGCTAGGAAAACATTTTTTTCTCTTGTATTTATTTTTTGTTCTACTATTTATAAACTAAGCCATTGTGGACAAATCACTTAATTTCTGTGTAAGCTTCCATTTCCTTGTGAAATGGAACTAGTAATTAACAGTAACAGTACTAACTTTCAGGATACGGAAAAATAAAAACATACAGAGTACCTAGCAGCACTTGGTAAAGGTCACTTTAGTTGTAATTAAGCAGAATTCGTTGTTTGATATCACTTTTCAAGCTCTCTCATTTGCTCTTCTTCAAATGTGATACTTTTTAGTAAAAAAATACTTTTGTTCAGTGTAATTTATTTTAACAGCCCCATGTGGCTTATTTCTTACTCTTGTGGTGCACCAGCCTTCATGCCTCTCTATCAATCGGAAGTGCCCTGTGTTCACCTAAAAATAAAACATTAGCTGAAAACCTATCAGATTTAAATTTACTTTTTACTGAAATAAGAAATTCAGCATGAGTTAATGCTGAGTCAAAGTTTCATAGCTTTGAATGCTACTTTCAGATCCTAATTCTTCCATTCCAAAGATAAACTTGCCACTTTTAAAAAACATTCTGCCAGGTTAGTATTACTGAACATTAACTGATTCCTCCCAGCTAATGTGAACCAACACTTACCAAAAGGAAAATGAAAACCACACTACTTTAATCCTATTATTTGTCAAAATTTCTTACTTTAATTCAAATTACATAATGTTCATTTTCAGAAAACAGCAAAAGACCAAGAAGCAACAGACCACCCATTTTTCTAACAGTGTCTTTGAAAAAATTTTGCTAATTTAGGAAAAATCAACTTTTGGTAAACTCTTTGGAGCTGAAGGACACAGCTAACTAGAATTTGCTTCATTCTAGTTCATGTGAAAAAGGACACACCTGTGGACAGTCCCAGTTTATTAGAGCTGGATCCACTAATGGTACTCTTTAGATGTGTGTCTGCTGGGTAGGCAGGTGTACCTCATGCCCATAGCAAAGTTAAAGGGAAATGAGAACATCAGGGTTTTTCCCTTCTAAAGGTCAGACTGCTTCCACAGATGAGGTTATCTAATTCCTGAGAAACTGCTGGATCAGTAGCAAGTTTCACTCCATGAAACAGCTTTCTGACACTGCTATGCCACTGAAAAGAGATCTATAACACATAAAAAGAAAAACTAGGATTTTTGATGTTTTAATTAAATTGAGTACTAATTTCAAAAGCCTTCAAATAAAGTCTGTAATCCTAAAGTTTGAGCTCCAGGCTGAACTCTTAAGGCTAAATGAGCTTTCTTAAAATTTATACAACTGACTTCTTTTTTTTTTTGGTTTTTCTCCGGTACCGGGAACCGAACTCACGACCTTGCGCTTGCCAGGCAGGCGCTTTTGCCGCTGAGCTAAATCCCCAGCCCCCACAACTGACTTCTAAATCTGTGTTTTTCTATTACATCTCATGATACTATTGTTTAGAGATCCAAAACACTCTAAGGACAAGATACAGTCATATTAGAAAATCAACAAATGCATTCACGTTCACTAAGTACACAACCCACTAACTACAAGTAAAGGTCACATGTTAAGACAATGAAAAATCATCTGAGAGACTGAAAAATAAACTCACCACCCAGATGGAAGGTCCCAAATCCTAATGGAGCAATCCATCGCAGCGCTTATTAACCAACGGCCATCAGGACTGAAAGTCTTTAAATAAATAAAGGAATAAAAATTATAGATATATTTGCAGTATGTATTGCTCTGTATGTGTGTGTATATAGACAGATATGTGTATCTATATAGATAGATACACACACACAGATATATGTATGATTCAGATTTCATGAAAAAATAAATGAACAAAATTCAAACTGCCTTACTTTATAAAAGAAAATATTATTTTCTATATACTACTAATGTGGAATTTGGATAAGAATTTGTCTGTAAATGAATTATAATAGTTTAAAAAATAAAGAATTCTACCAATTTTCATACCACAACCTCATATTTTTAGAATTAAAGTGTGACTATAAATTATTTTTAATATTAAAATGCTATTCTTGAGACTATTCAGTTAGAAATAATTTGTTAGCTTAATTTCTGCTATAAAGTATTTCTGAAAAAAACAAAAATTCTATTTCTTTAAAAAGGGTTTATTTTGGCCTGACTTTCTAAGAATTAAATCAAATCCCTATAATTTTGAAGACAGAAAATGAAAATTCTCATCAAATTTTAAAGCTACTAAAGAAGTCTTTCTACATTTACTTGTAACTTTAAAAATCACTTTTTCTGAGCTGGAAATGGTAGTACATGCCTGTAATCCCAGCACTCTGAGAGGCTAAGAAAGGAGGATCACAAGTTCCAGCCTAGCCTGGACAACTCAGTGAGACCCTGTCTCAAAAAAATTACAAGATATATCAGACTTCCATGTGTAAACATATTACCTGCCTGGTGTGAGAAACTGAAAGAGTAAATAAGGTCCAAAGGGAACAACAAATATTGTGAAATGGGAAGAAACTGCCCAAAAGAAAAAAGGAAATAGGATGGGAGAAAGAGGAAAAGAAGGAAAGGAAAAGGAAAAAAAAATGCAAGACAGTTGTATTACTAGTTTCTCATAGTTCACTGAAAAGAAAGGTTTGTGCTAATATCGTTTGGAGAATTTTTTTATGCCCATAACTTGTACTCTGAGTAACTACTTTAAAGATAACTACACATACTGTATTAACTATTATTATTTTCCTACTATATTATTATGAAACTTTGTTTTACTTTTCTTCATTTAAAAAAAAATTAAAAGCAAGCTGGGGATATAGCTCTGAGAAGGGTCTCGAGTTCCAATCCCAGAGCAATTTAAACAATGAAGTATTTACGCCATCTTAAAAAAAAGAGTTGTATTTTCTAGCCATAAAGTGGATAACAGCTTTTCTCGACTGTAGCACATAAATGTTGAGAGACTCAGATCAGATGTGAAAGACTCAAAAAGAAAAATTTTAAGGTCTACAGTGGTAGCACATTATTCATCCAGGAATCTAAACTCACCGTAAGGATTATGACCATCCATATTAACAAATGATACCCGAGTAAGGCATCAGTGTCAACCTGCTCAATTTACAGAAAGGTAGGGAAGATACAAGATGGGAAGAAATCACAGAGTTAAGGTCATGTTAAAAATGCTCACAGATTTAAGTGAATAGGAGTACCTTACTACTCAACAAGAAAAGCTCTAGACATTCAAATAGAAAAGTGAAGTTTGAAAAGGGGAAAACCAGGAAGAGCAAGCTGACACAGGTGTTTTCAAAACTCCACTTCATCACCATTACCCCACTACCACCCATTTCCACAGATGCTGTCAAAACAAATTCTGCTGATGGATAATTTTGCCAACTTCCAAACTGAAGGATGTATTTTCTTGACATTTCTTTTTACTACTTTTAAGGTGAAAGGCAATGGATTGTAAATTTTGATTTTTGATGTTAGACCTGATACGTAAATGTAGTTGAGTTTTCACTCAGTAGGGAAGGATTTTATTTTTACTTGTTTTTAAGTAAGTCACTGTATCTGAAATCAATACAAAGGGCAACATATACTTAATATAACCCTCTAATTATAAATGTGTTTTTTTTTTTTTTTTTTTTTTAAAGGTACTGGTGATTGAACCCAGTACTTTCACACTGAACTGCATCCCCAGCCTTTTCAAACATTTTTATTTTTAGACAGGGTCTCAGTAAGTTGCTGAGTTGCCTAGTCTGCGATCCCTCTGCCTCAGCCTCCCAGAATGCTAGGATTACAGATGTACACCAACATGCTCGACTTAAAGAGCTTTTCATAATGTTAACACATGCTTTCTAAACTAGTTTACTTTCTACTGTACCCTATATCCACTATAAGAACAGAGTGACAAACCCAACCACATTTTTATGAATTAAATTCTTGTAGTTATATGGACCCTAGAAATAACACTACACTAGAATAAACCAGTTAGTCCAGGCTACTATTCTTTCATTAGACACACAGAGGAGAAGGAATGAATTCTCTTGGCTTACTTTAATATGAAGTAAAAAAATGATACACTTATGTACTAATGAAACATTTATTCTCCAAAGTACATTTTGGTCTTATTTAAAGAGGAAAAGGTAAAGTTGGGACATATTTGAGTCTAATCACAAGAACTCCCTCAAAAATATTAAACTTTTAATCCTAAAGTTTTCTTAAAAATGTCTTTGCAAATTATTATTTTGAAAGTCTTTCATATGAGTTCATGGTTATTAAAATAACAGACTGGATTATTTAACATTTTTGACCCAAGTAGAAGTAGAAATGAGTCAAGGTGTTTAAGGAGAAAAAGTTTGTTTTACCATGTCATTTATTTGGCCTTGGTGTCCAGAAAACTGTCTGACAATCTTCTTAGTTTCTATGTCCAGAACACTAATGGAGAAGTCATCCAAGGCAAGTCCCAAAATGCCACTAGCAAGATAAATGTGCTAGGTTTAATACACAAACAAAAAGGCACAGACCTTGTATTCTGCTCATCAAATACAGCTTTAAGGAAATTAAACCAAATGCTGTTCTTATAAGTCTGATTTCTTCCACTTGGCATATTATGTACTTAAGAACTTGTACTAAAAACATCATAAAGAAAATCTATTATCATTAAAGAATTTACCTGTCCCTATGTAGCAGCATCATATTTGGAGATGAATCAAGGTTCACAGAATGGATTAAACCTTTGTTTTTAAAGTTCCAGAATTTGAGTAATCCTTCACTACCAGTTGTAATGGTCAACTGGTTCAGTCCATCCACTGCAACACCTCTTATAGATCCCTTATGAGCTTTTAAGTATATGTTAAAAGAAAAAACAAATTAAAATTGTCAAAGCCTATTTCAACAATAGATGAGGAGCACTTTCTTTACTCAAATACTGAAATACTCATTATGTCCCTAAAGTCTTTAAATTAATAAGGATTTTTGAAGGCAGGGAAGAGTCTTAATTATTATTCTGTTCAAGTAAAAGAGAAATCAGTCTGTGACATAAAAGAGCTTCCAAAATTTCATTTAGAAGAATTTTATAT